CCAATCGAGAATTTGTGGAAAGAACTGAAAACTGCTGTTCACAAATGCTCTCCATCCAACCTCACTGAGCTTGAGCTGTTTTGCAAGGAGGAATGGGCAAAATTTAAGTCTCTTGATGTGCAAAACTGATAGAGACATACCCCAAGCGACTTACAGCTGTAATCGGAGCAAAAGGTGGCGCTACAAAGTATTAACTTAAGGGGGCTGAATAATTTTGCACGGCCAATTTTTCAGTTTTTTATTTGTTAAAAAAGTTTGAAATATCCAATAAATTTCGTTCCACTTCATGATTGTGTCCCACTTGTTGTTGATTCTTCACAAAAAATTACAGTTTTATATCTTTATGTTTGAAGCCTGAAATGTGGCAAAAGGTCGCAAAGTTCAAGGGGGCCGAATACTTTCACAAGGCACTGTATTGTTCAATAAATGATGATTGGCACTGCAGTGATTCTCCCTGTGAATTAATTCTATACACGACACAAGAAGATATTTACTACATCAATACCTGATTAACAGGTTGACTACAGTTAAAATGGCGTTTCTAGCCCACCGTATGCCTGAGATATTAAGGTTCAACTTCTCACGAGTTGAATATAGTTGATAAGAATCAGCTGTGCGCTCCTGTTGAGAGCGTCTGCAGAGAGAAACGGAGCGAAAACCAGTTTCAAACAAATAGAGCACCCTGTTGTGTTAGTACACTGTTGTATTATGTCATGATATTAAACAAATTGAAGGAACCGTGGTGTTTCATAATTACAAATACGTTTTCCTTCCAGCGTATTATTTGACTGCAAGTCAGGGAGAGACAGGGGATGACAGAGCGAAAGACGCCCAAACTGGCGTCCAATATTAATATATATACAGCACTTTGTTGTGTTATTCAACTGCTGTATTTGTCAAGATTAAACAAAATGAAGGAACAGTTACGATTTACAAATATGCCGACGTTTTGTTTCAGCGGATCTTCTGTATTGACTGTAAGTCTATGGAGCAGTGAGACGTATGCGCTGGAATGAGCGACTTACGCAAATACCATTCATCCCATCTCAATAACACTGACAGCTGAATTCGTGACAATTTTCTTTACGATTGTCATCTATTATATGTGTATAAAGCTTAAGAATGGCATAATAGGAGCACAAAAGCAATGAGGAAGAGGAAAAGCATAAAGAAAGCTGCCAAACCAGGGGGTCACGTGACGCATAGCTGCCAATGGCATTGCATAGTTTTGGCCCATTCGTTGTCTATGGACAAATAGACAAAATATAAATGTCGATTATAAAGAAACCATAAAAAAATATCAAGATGATTTTTGCACCATTGGTAGCTGAACGTCTCACGAGTTGAACAGAGTTGAAATGGCGTTTCTAGCCCAAGGTATGCCAGAGATATTAAGCTTCCAACTTTGCCCCATTCATTTCCAATGGGGAAACAGTGACGCATAAATTGTTAATGTCACTACACATGATACCTTACCTGAGGGGTAGAATAACCTGCTGGACAGCAGGTTAAGGAAATGGTTTCAAACAGGACGTAAACTCAAACAAAAGACTGCAATGTTGACACTATCTTTAGAATCCCTCTCCTTAAAAGATGATGACTGTCCATATCCAGCTCAACACCAAGATTTGAAGGATGAGTTTGACACTGACTTGGAGTTGGATGGTAAGTGTAAATGCAATATACTATACGCTGTACTGTACATAAAAATACTCCTGATTTCTAATAACAATGTAGTTAAATGGCTTGTTGGGACAAGCTGTTGTTGTAGAACATTTACTACATGGAAAGGAAGCATACGGTGGAATTTCTGCAGGTTTATTCATTTCCAGAAAAAGAGGAGAGTAACAAAGAGATGTCTGTAGCTGAAGTTTACTTGGAGGCCTGCAAGCTGGTGGGTGTGGTGCCAGTCTCTTACTTTATACGGAACCTTGGCTCTACAACCATGACCCTCAACCACCATGGCTTGGGACCACTGGGGTGCAAGGCACTTGCTATTGCTTTAGTTGTAAGTTTAAAAATGTTAGTATGTTATTGAGTGTGACTTATATTAAAATGAGAACATCTGATGAGCTTTTTGTATTTAGAGTGACATGCATATTGACACTCTGGAACTGGCAGACAATCACATTCAAGCTGAGGGAACGAAATACATTGTGGAGATGTTTCAGGCTAATTTCACCATCGAGCACCTGGTATGTAGGACTGTAAACCTGCCACTAGAGGGCAGAGGTGGTTTTCAGGTGACATTATACTTTGCTTTTACAGTGGAATACACAGGATACTGCAACAGTACTGTTTTGCTTTTAGGATTTGTCCAACAACTGTCTGCAGTCTGGAGGAGCTGAGTGTGTTGCTAAAATGTTGCTGGACAACATTTCATTAAAATCTATAAAACTTTCAGGTAATGTGTACATTAACATTTGTGTGTATTAATACTACAGTGAATATATGAATTCGCTATCAAGTATTCATTCTGCTGAAGTCTCCAAAGACAATAATCTAAAACAGTGTACAGTCTTTTCAGGGCTGGGGGTGACAGAAAAAAAAAGATATTTCTTAGTAAATTTTACAGTAACAGTAATAACATTATTTATTGTCATGTTTATTTGATATATTTAAACAGGTGATATTTTTCACAGGAAACAGATTTATTGGTGATGATGCTAAGTATTTTGCAAATGCCTTGTCGGTAAGTTATTTATTAATGATTAACCAAACACTGACATTGAAACCATGCCTGACAAATTACATATTGGTTATGGTCTGTGTAGCAGAATGTTTGGTGTGTTTAAACTTATTTTTTTATGAAAATTTGTACAATTAGAGCAACTCCCGGATTAAGGAACTAGACCTGAGCCATAATGAGTTTAGTATAAAAGGAGGGGAACATTTGGGACAACTGTTAGGTATGGTAAAATTCACTAATCTTAATCACTCCTTTTAAATATGACCAAATGCAGTGTTTTACATTAACATTGTGATGCCTTATACCAAGTATATGATCACAAGATCCCTGTCTTTGTCTTTGATTTTACTGTCCATTTCTACAGCAACTAATCAGGGCCTGGAGGTGCTGGACCTCAGCTGGAATTGTATTAGAATGAAAGGGGCTGTAGCTTTTTGTGCTGGACTCAAGGTATGGTTCTGTCAGAAATTCACTTGATCCTTGACATGGTATACAGTATTTGATTACATATATCATCCACATTTAGGTGAATATGATCTTAAAACATCTTGATTTATCATGGAATGGTTTTGGGAATGAGGGTGCCCTGGCCATGGGAGAGGCCCTAAAATTCAACAACACTTTGGTGCACCTCAACCTCAACAACAACCGCCTCACCAATGAGGGTGTCAGCATGCTCTGCAGGGGTCTTGAGTTCAATGACACACTCCGAGTCTTATCGGTGGGTAAATTAACACAACTCATTATCAGTATGGCTACAGGCACACATTATGAGTTGATGTGTGAGGTAATGCTTATTGTTACACCCCTGCAGCTGGCTTACAACTCTTTAACAGTAGAGGGGGCACTGGCCTTGGTTAATGTGGTAAAAAACACATCTAGTGCCTTGGAGGACATAAACATATGTGTGAGTGACTCAATTTATCCTGTCATACCATTGCTCAGACAATCCTATGAAGGTTTGATGACATTTCAAACCAGTTTAATACAGTGTATGCTTGTGTCCATGATAAGCTAAGAAAGGCGAAATACGCTGTACCATATTACCATTGTAATCAAGATTACTATACCACAGGCTGTTTGAGGAGGTGCATGTTCTCTGTGATGTTAATTTTTTCCCCCTTTGAATATGAACAGAATGTGCTGGTAAATGAGAATTTTGTGCATCTGTTGGAGGTAACATGTCAGGAGCATCCCAGTCTGGATGTGCAGTATGGAGGGGTAGGAGGCTTCATTGCTAAAAAGCCACTAAAACATGTCGATCCGATGAAACTCATACAGGTCTGTTACCGAATGAACCATCCTAAGAACTTTAAATGAATATTTTGTCCTTACACAATATATTTTGAGTTCAATTCAAATTTTAGTGAAATTCCCTACAAAAAAGTTCAAAATGCATGAGTGAAACAGTAAAACAAAAGAAAAATGTAATAAAAATCTTTTAAAAAATAAAATAAAATCTGTATTTTCTAATAGTGAAAATGCCTTCTCCCTTTTTTCAAAGGATTATTTGGATCAAAACAAGCTGCGGCTGTGGGATTTTTTTCGGAACATTGACAAAGATGCGACCATGCGCATCCCTGTGGCGGATTTCAGGAAGGCAGTGCAGGTCCCCCAACCAAAAAAATGGATTTAGTGAAGTGTGCAGAGCCACTGACATTTGTACCGATGAAATCCTGATAGAATACTGTGAAACTGTCCTGTGAAATAATTCTTTCAAACCTACTATTTCCTGATGCTAATCACTGTTCAACATAGAGCACACAATCAACAGCAGCATATTGTCTGACTCTTTCTTCTCTTTGTGTGAAATCATGATAGCAATCAAGCGTTCCTTTGGATCGATACCAGATTGAGGAGCTGATTCACAGACTTGACCGTGATGGGACAGGAGCTGTAGACTACAGGTGAACACTTCTCCAACTGTTTGAGTTTACTCACTGATTTTATCACTGTTGGAATGATGGCATAGTTGTCTTGTATGTCTTATTTATGAGCTGGGAATTTGTCCAGATCTTGCTCTTGAATGATATAGTGATGTTTGTGTATGGTTTAGTAAGGCGTGTGCTGAATTGATTGTAGCCATAAAGTTTGGCTCTACAAAGCAAATACTGAAGCATGTTTTTGTGCAGGGGGTTGGCTGATACTAGAAAACAAATGAGGAGGGATCATCGCCGCCAGCTGAAACGGTTTGAGTCTCGTCAGAAGAAAGAGAAGCAGAAAAGTGACCGCATCCTCAAGACTTTCCAGAGCGCAGTGGAGGCGGTTACACCACACAGCTCCATGGTCATCTCTCCCAGTGCAGCCAAAGAGGATTCAAGTAGCCGGCAGCTCTTCTCTGCCACCCCTCTCAGCTCTTGGCACTACATCGTCATGTCCGGCACCAGTCGCTACTCTGTCACTAACCTGAACAATGAGCATGTCCATCTGCCCATGTTAGGAGGCATCACGCCTTACCGTCCCACTAGTTCCTCAGCATTGCACTCCTACTCCCAACCCAATATGCTGAATGACTCTCCTCACTCTACCTCAGGCAGTTCTCTCTCTGCCCATGGTACACACTCTGACCCGGAGATGGGCTACAGCGAGCTAAGCCCCAGAGCTAGCCACCTGACCAGGTCCAGGCCTGCCCTTAATGACAAGCAGCCAGAAGTTAAGGCCAAAACCAAGAAAGTAAAGAAAAAGAAAGCTAAGAAACCAGTGGTGAAAGATGCCAAGAATCCTACAATAACTGAGGACATTATACAGCGTTAAATTGACAAGTGACTTTAACGCTGTATAATGACATATTATCCTTAAAATCTTTTGCTTCTGTTTGCCTGAAATCATTGGTTTCTTTGTTGCAATCATTAAATAAAACTGATTTTAATATTTTGTCTCGTTCATAATCTAGAAAAAGGACAAATGTGTACAGTATATTCAGCATTCAAAGTGATTATCTGTCATATGGAAAGTTAGGAAACGTGTTTCCCTGTACAATGAAATTCTTACTTTGCCGTCCACATGAATGCCACAAAATACCACTGAAATATAAAGTAGATAAATAAGTAACACTAAATCTAAGGCAAATGCAGCAATATAATAAAAAATATATAAGAACATAACAAGAGAATGTATGCTGCATGGGAGCAGCATGTACAGCAGTCAACAGTCAATGTGCAATTATGCATGTGCAAACTGAGAATATAGACAGTACAGGTTGACAGTACATGGCGTATTTCCTGGTAATAAACTCCTCAGCTGTTTAGGAGTCTGATGGCAGAGGGAAGGAAAGAGTTTTTCAGTCTAGAGGTCCTGCATTTAACACTTCTGAACCTCTGGCCAGAGGGTAGGGAGGCGAACTGTCTGTGCTGGGGGTGGGTGGGGTCCTTGAGGATAGAGGCAGCTTTACTATGCACCCTGCGGTGGTAAATGCTCTGCAGAGGGGGCAGTGGAGTCCTGGTGATCTTCTCAACAGTCTTTACCACTCTCTGCAGGCGCTTGAGGTCCATAGCAGTAGTGATGCCATACCAGACCGTGATGCAGCTGGTCAGGATGATCTCACTGCTGCAGGCGGA